AACAAGTACACTGATTCCTGCAAAAAGTTCACTATTAGGTGTAACAAATATTTCTTTCAATCTCTGGTGAATATGCAGCAGACCCATGTTTGAGACCATTGATATTTCATCAATTATGATTAGTTTCAATTCAGCCAAAGACAATCTCATTTGTGTTCTTCTCTGATCAGACATTGCAGGTACATTATTCCCACACTCTCTTGGAATTGCTAGAGCAGTGTTTACGGTTGTTCCGTTGATATTTATGGCAGCTACACCAGTTGGAGCCATTAGTAATACAGAAGGTAATTCAGGATTCACTGGAGGATGTCTAAATGTTTTTGTAACAGTATGATATATAGCTTTAATTAAGTGTGATTTCCCTGCACCTCCACCTCCAGTAACAAAAACATGGATAGGATCTACTTGAGAAGGTTGAAGAGTGTTTATATTTGCCATTTTGTTTCTATACCAGGAGAGAACTACGTCATATGCATAACGTTGTTTGTTGTTCAATGATCTTACAGTTTTTCGCAGATCGTCGTCACCGATTTCTAAGGGTTGATTATAACAACTTATTCCAGAAGATGGTTGAACTGATTCAGGATTTAATGCACGATGTTGTGGCAACGATTCGTTAAAAGAGTCGGTTTCATCAAAATCGTCAGGTAAAGTTTGCCGCAAATCTTCATGATTTTCCTGGTCATTTATTGGATCATAGAAGTGAGTTGGTACCCCATCAAAGTTTCGTAAACTTTCTAGTGCTTCATTAATTGCATCAGCATTGGCTCAAATATTTCTTTGTTGCGTTGTACTACCTCTTGAACATCTGGCTCATAAAACTTAGATATGTATGTCTGGTCTTCGCCAAAGAGTTCCTGCTCATTACGCCATGGAAAATACAACATGAGAAGGTGGTGAAAATATTTTTCAGGCTCTTTTCTTTTGTTTGGAGTGTGATTTCGAATAACAGCTTTAATTTTTCTGCACTTCATAATTTCTTTGCTGTTTACAAGTTTTATTCGATCGGGAAGTCCAGTGTTATGATTTTCGATATTTTGAGATTCAATGAAGTCATCGCTTAACACTTCAGGTTGAGAATCAGATACTTCGTTAAAATCACTTTTGTAATCTTTGAAATAGTGAGCAGCAAATAAAGCTAAACACATATCATTGACGACAGGAATGTTTTTTGGTCTGTCACTGCAACGGACAATAATGTTGGACTTAAAAATGTCAGTACTATCATCATCTAACTCATCAAGTTCTTGTTGTTTCTTCGCAAATCTAACACGATTTTCAGCAAAATCTGTGGTAACAAAGAGGGTTTTCGGGAATATTTTTCTTAACCAGAGTTCAGGCATGCACCTGTAAACGCATTCTTAAGCACTGACTTCACGAGTCGAAAGAAAAGCTGCACCTATTTTTCTTAGACCATCTCTTATATTTAAGTTGGCTTCTTTAGCTTCTTTTGCTGCATTTATGATGGCTTGAGAACATTCAGTTTCATCCTTTGTAAAGTAAGAACAAACGTATGTGATACACTTGTAATGATTAAACACTGGTTGCAAGTCAACATTTGCGGCAAACCCTTTTAACCCAGCAATAAAGTAATTGTTGATAAAACAACTATCTATTGGTCTTTTGAGGTGCAATTCATAGTCAGAGTCAGGAGATAATGATATATATCCCATTGATAGTCTTGCTCTGTAATATTTATATCATTTAGGATGTCAGTTGGAGTTGCATGTGGATCATAGGTAGGTTTGCTTGGGTTTAGCACATCGTCAATTTTTTGTTTAACTTTAGACAAAATTTCCTTTCGTCTAGTTAGAATGTTGGATTTAATCTCTTCATTCATATCTTCAGCCAAAGGTTCAGCAACAATTGTTCTGTCAGTAAAAAACTGTCCAAAGTTAAATCTACATGTAACATTCTTGTACTTTCTACAGGTTTTACTGTGATTATGTGTCTGGTATGTTTTCACCAAGTCATAAAGTTGAGGATCTGTTTCTTTGTCTGGAAGGTATGCTTGAACATGTTGGTCAATGTAATCTATGTATGCATCTTTTGTATCATTCGTTAAGTCTGGGCAATCAGATGTCCATATTAAGGCATGCAAATGTGGTGAACCTCTCATTTGAAATTCAATACGGAGTGCATAATATACTATCTTACCGACTGGGTTTGCATTTGTAAGCAAAACATCCCTGAAAAATGTTTCGACTCGATACTGGAAATGTTTAGCTACAATAACTGGATTTAAATTTAACATTGAGCATCGCTCATGATACGACAGAGCGTCCACTTCTTCATCTGTCATGTTGTTTCCTTTCGATTTTGCAATTATCTGAAATAGCTCTGGCCATCTTAAGTCTGCACATGAAAGTGTCATAAACCATGTTGGTATTCCCAGTTGTTTAACCATTGCTACCACTTCATTAGTCTCCTGCGCATACCTACTTAGCGGGCTGAGCCCTCACGTAAGGTATGCTTACTTTGGCCAAGAATTCCTTTCCTCAAAATTAGCCAATCACAGCTTTACCCACGAAAATTGTGGGGCTTGACCTTTGACTATGTCTTTGACCTTGAGGCTTGAGTCGTCAAAAGTTTCAAAACATTTAATCTTGAACATTTCATATCTTCATTTGTACGTATATTCATATCTTAAACCGATTATATGCGAGAGCTGAGAGATATATTTGTTATACACAAACCAGTCTACAAATTTACAATATGGAACAATTGTAAAATCTGTTAGAATTTGTCGAGCTATTGTTTTGAACAGATAGTGTACTAAAATCGAACAATATCACCTAAAATATTTCGCGATGTTTTGATTACTTTACAAGCGTTTGCAGGTGTTACTGTAACACGGGTAATATACTGGACAAAGACGTCAAGACAAAGTTATACAGTGTACATTACTGCGGGTGTAGATAATAGATTTATAAGTACTAATTGAAGAGTACAGAATTCTCGACAGAATTCAGCCTATATAAAATACTGAATTGTTCATTGCATATTTCGGTTTCTGAGTTTGTATATGACTAGCAAGTTTATAAAGTTTAACAAATTAAAATCGTAATTACAAAAGTCGCTCTGATATTTAACGTTCGGAAACTTAGTACTATTTACAACATGAGCAGACGTGTTGTATCGGATATACAAACTCGAGCCGAAAACGACTCATCTTATGAGTTCATTGGCGAAGTAATTTTAAAAATAAACGTTGTCTAAGCCGAGAAAATCAAAGTTAAAGTTTATGTAGATTAACATGAATCTTTATCACATATATAGACTCCCTCACGCCCATGATTTCTTTTAATAGTATTATATATATTGAATATACATGCCGTCACGCAGTCGCGTCAAGTTCAAAACAAGTATTACCAGTTAAGCCTTCGACCTATCGCGTACATTCGTCGGAAAAATATTCAATATTTTCTACTTCGACTGCTATTGATCAGAAAACTCGATCTGTTCACATTTATGGCCATTTAAATACGTATATACCGTATTATTATTCGATTATCGCACGCTCCTTGTTTGCATTTACATTTTACAAGTTTACAGTTGACATTCAAAGTGGGCGTGTCTTGTGCATTTGAATGCTATTGGCTAATGGAATACAATGGGAAGGCGAATTGCTAGCGAAAGTAAGCAGACCGTACGTGGCGGGCCCAAACCCGCTAAAGTAGGTCTGCATAGGAGACTAACTGCAGACCGGACTGGGTACAAAATGCAGACTGGGGGTATAAAATGCAGACTGAGGATAAAATGCAGACTGGGGGTGAATTAGGGATATTTTACAAATTCCCGCCAAGCCATAGTCACGTGATCGTTCTTGTTGACAGTGTGACCAGATTTGGTAATTTTTCTGACTTTTTTGGTAATTGAAAATTTTTGGTAATTTTTTTAGTAATTTCTCTTTAAAGTTAGTAATATTTTGGTTATGGCATGAAATTCAACCAAATACGCCATAATGACACAACCTGTTATTCAAAAATTCAATGAGAACAGTTGCAGGCTGTCCAGGTGAATCGACGGAATCCTGCTGATCAACCGCTCACCCAACCTCGTACCCAGGGCACAGAATAGGAACGCGGACAAATATTTGCTCGAGTTACGCTTCTGGTATAACTTCCTATTCTGTGCCCAGGGCACAGAATAAGGTACACAGAAGGTCGACTCAAGTAACGCTGCCACGCCATGATTCATCATCAAAATGCTGACGCCATGGTCCTAGCCAGTGCGGGTTTGAGAGGCATTCCCCCCCTGGATATCCGCCATTTTGAATGATATCAGGGGGTGAATGCATAGAGATTATAAATAACACTAGAGGAGACATCGAGTTTAAAAATTGGGAACGCAGCTAATGGGGGGCAAATTCAAGTCCCGGATATAAAATCGTGCTCTCATTGGCTGATTTGAAACTCACTTGTGCATGCATGTGCTTTACAGTTTACATTTGACCGTGGTGTTGGTTGTGTATATAAGTGAACAATGAATAAATTAAATAATGAGATATGATATTAAATGTCTCATCAGGTGGTAGTGATAGTTCAGATTCCATCTTGCCAAATTCCTCATCCAGTGAAGCTCGTTTAGAAAAAGAATAAAAAATGAGGTAAAAATTTCGTTTTATAAGCACTTTAATAAAAACTCATTAATAATTCATGAAGAAAACACAAAGGAAATCACTGCCGTGTCGGTGCCCGATGGTTTTATATGTGATAAAAAGTCATGTTAATTTATACAAACTTTAGCTTTGATTTTCTTAGCTTAGACAACGTTTATTTTAAAAATTACTTCGCTGCTTCTCGAGCTGCGCTCTGGTGTTTTATATCTGATCAAGCACGCGCCTTTCGCTCGTCGTGGAATTAGGCCTTTACTTAGATCATTCACAAGAAATTGCAAGTACTACCGAGTTTCGTCCGGTTTCGCCCGATCTGAAGACAATCTCGCCCGATCTGGTCACGACTATATCCGAACCGACCGTTCCCACACTTTCTTGAATTAATGTTACCTGGCACTGTAGATATGACCTCAGAAATGCAGTTATAAGCGCATCCATCATAATAGTGCGATAGTGTATAAATAGACTATAGAATGATGGGCAAAATTGTTTTCTGGTGGAACATTACAGTAGTGAAACTAAGGTTCAAAATATTTTCCCGGACAAAATTCCTGTTACAACATGGCTCAAACCCTTTTTTTGGATCTATATATGTAAAATTGTGGTTTAGAAAATTTTTTCTCATACCATTATTTATATCAAAAAGCGTTCGAAAATTCTTTTTATTTTGCAAATTTGGGGGCCTCCCTTAAACTGGGGACCCGGGGAAAATTGCTCCCTTTGCCCCCCGCCCTGAAAGGCCCTGAGCATGACATCCAGTTTGACAACTTTTTAGTGTCACACAGTTACAATGTCGGAGTGTCGATTTACTTTATTATTCGCAGAAAATTTTCGATCTTTTGCGGTCCCAAAAAGCAAAATATTTTTTCCACCCCTGATTTACTTAAGTAAATCCCCGTATCCTTGTCTGCAGTAGCAGGCTTCACTCAGTGGGAAGGCGCCATCTGTCACCCATGCCCCTCAAGGCGTATCTGTCACCCATGCCCCTCATCTACTGCCATGTAACCCCAACTTCGGAACCCAGGCTCTCTTACCTTCGCTTTCCCCAGAAAAAACTCGAGTACATTTTCTGTTTTCTTTTAGGCACACGGTGTCGCGAATCAAATCTCGAACAACGACAATCAAGTAAAGAACGTTTCTGGAAGATTGTGAAAACCAACATCATTACAACCACAAAAACGATGACAGAAACGCAGACGAAGATTATACATACTACACAAGATGGCGCGGTTATCATATCAAAAGTAACACCGAGTTTAGTGAACCCACATATAAAACAACAACGAATGAGAATGAGACGCGAGACGAAGTAGACGTAATTCCCAGCCAGATCACTTTTAGTCATTCAAGAAATACGGAAGTAACCCCTCTAAATAAGGAAATTGATCTGAGAAGCTCGAACGTTGTTCAAGTAACAAAAGACAACGATATAATTATTTTAGACAGTCCAGAAAGCTCCGTAAACGAATTAACTATCTAAAAGCGCGTCAACACCAAGTACCGTTAGCCCGTCATTATTCCAAGCTTCGTTAAATTGAATATCGTCCATCAGCCCTGATGAGAATATCTCCAGCACTGAAGGAAGAACTGAAACTTTGCCTCGGAAACAAACAACAAACAATGCGGTATCTTTACCGAAGCAGAAACGCAAACGTCCCTTCTCTGTGGACAATCAGAGAACGTCACGCAGATCTTCCACGTCTCCACCTATCCCGCACTTGTTGCACGAAGGTACACGCGTGTTAGCTCTGTGGTACGACAAACATTATTACCCCAGTCACGTGGTTTGTAAATGTAATAATGATACAACATAATAGGGCCATTTATACGAGACAAAATAAGACGCGACTTACATAAGACGCGACTTAAATAAGCGGAGTTATCGCATAAATGGTTCTCTACGCCTTTATTCTTATTTACTTATTATGTTGTTTCGGTTGTTTTTGTTTTAATATGCAAGGCTAATAATTTTACGTTGTTTGAAGTTTCGGGCATGTGTAGTTAGAATTTTTGTCCAAAATTTCTTATTTAAGACGCGACTTAAATAAGAACAGCTAAAAGTCCGGTTCTTATTTAAGTCGCGTCTTATCCAAGACGCGTCTTACATAAGAATTTTGTACCTTTTATACGACAAACTCGCGTCTTATTTAATCGCGTTTTAAGTCGCGTCTTATGTAAGTCGCGTCTTATTTTGTCTCGTATAAATGGCCCTAATATCATATCGAGTTTGATGATGGTGATCAAAGCGACATCCAGGAAGAATGTATTGTTGTTGCTGAATATTTACCATGTGAACACCAGTAATGTTCTGCGAAAAGACTGGAGGCGAATATATTGATGGCGTTATCCGAGGGTTTTATAAGGATGGTGATGACAGAGGGTATAAGGTGTTAGGAGCGGATAAGAGAGTTGTACGTTGTCCACGAAGTAATGTCATCTTAGCAGAAAGACGCTCCAACTGAACCACGAAGGTCTTGCGAGCAGCGCACGAAGAAATCACGATCAAGTCACGTAGACGCTCCGACTGGACCACTTACTGATAGAGATACAAAAACACAAGGAAAACATAGTGAAAAAAATATCGTTAAAATTGTGCCAGGGAAAGATAGTGGCGGCAGTGCGATAAAGAAACGCTCTAGAGGCGGAGAAAACAGTAACAAAGTCTTGTCTGAGAGCTCATCAAAAGCCGCGTTCACACTAGCGGCCCAGGCCTGGCCTGGGTCTAGGTGTGAACGGGTTTTACTTGGCCTGAGCCTGGCCTAGGCCTGGCCTAAGTCAATAAATCCAGGCCAGCAAATGTAGGTGGCCTGGACCTGGCCTTGGCCTGGGCCTCGATCATCACTGGTGTGAACGGGTTTTTCGTGGGCCTGGGCAAGGCCCCGTTACCATCGCAATATCTGCCCACGATAAAAACTGGTCAGATGATTGTCATACAATTGGAGGGAAAAACATTCAAAGTGCGAAATTAAATACTTTAGTGGAACACAAGGACGTTTATATTGACTCCTGATTGCTTTGGCCTGGAGTTGGGCGTCAAGCCAGTGTGAATGCGTCACAATTGACCCAGGACAGGTCAAGGTAAGGTCCAGGCCAGGCCTGGGCCGCTGGTGTGAACGCGGCTAAAGAAACGCGGGGAAGAAAACGTCAATGTATTGCCAGACAATAATGCAGGGTTCGTAGCGGTCTTTGAAAACCTTGAAAGTCTTTAAATTTGAATTCAGGTCTTTAGTGTCTTTGAAAAGTGTTTCAATTGTGTGAAAAACGAAATGAGTATAATATACCAAGCGGTTATCACTACAATCAGAATTTTATAGGCAAACAAACTTAAAAAGGTATGTTTAGTGCTTTATTTGTGAAATAATGCTAAAAAGAAGAGATTTTAGATGGTACGCGGGTCGCCAAAGAGAAAATGGTGTCTGAAGTTCATGAGTAAGTAGTTTTGCTTATATTGCCGTAAATATGACTGATAACTGTATGTTTCTCAATCGGCAAATGCGTTTAAAATGGTAGCTACTGTATAAACTAGAGAATAAGGCTAAAAGTCAGGGTGTTAGCCAGAAGTAAAAAAAAATCCGCGTTTACCTGAAATTGGAAAATTTATTTTAAAATTTTTTCTCGGAAAAATTTTTTCTGGGCGACTCCCACCCACCCCCGTCGCCAAAAAAAATTCGGTCAGTGTACCATACCATTTTAGGGGTCCAAAAATTTTTCCAGACATATCAAAATTTTTCGCGACAATTATTTGTGTCTTTGAAATGGCATTTCCCGCATTTTGGGAGTAATTTTGAGCAAATGTAGTTATAAACATGTTTTTAATTGGCGTATTAACAACATATTGACGGCAAGATGGACGGCAAGATACGGTACTTGTCTATTATCAGATGTGAAAAAATAACTGAATTTTTATGCTATTTTTTGCTGACCCAAATTGGAAAATTGCTACCTCAAGGTAATTGGGAAAACCGCGTTTAACGCGGAATTTTTTACTGTAGCTAACACCCTGTTTAAAACAAAGCAATTTTGAGAGGTACGCTTAATTTTATCGCAACAATGTATTTTAACTGGAACAAGTGTTGATTTTAACGCTCATAAAAGTTTTATTTATAGAGTACAAGGGAAATAAGAGATTTCAAATATTAGGTTTAGTTTGGAATATTTGTGAACATTTTACAAATGAAATATTGATATATGCGTTCATATTATTTTAACAGCATTGATTAATGTTTTCGTCCAGTTTAAGTTTCGCACTTCATAAAAAAGTACAAAACAAGACATTTTGCCCTTCCATTTGAAAATAAAACCAACCCATCAAATTTGGCTTCAAATTGGATTTCATAAGATTTTATTCGTGCTTACTTACTGGTCGGATGAATAGTTCAGGATTTATCATTCTCGAAACAAGAGTGCCTCTTGTTAGTATATTTTGTGTCACTTTATTCTCCGCATTTTGAAATTTCTTGTTATTTTTGTCGGCATATTTGAAGTCACTGTTCATGTTCTCTGCACGGTCTAGATGCTGGTTCTGTAGTTCAGGGTACCGTAACCTCATAAGATTGTGCAGGACAATGCAGGCTTTCACGATGAGCTTGACAGTAGAGGGGTGATGCTGCATTGTAGTTACCAGAACCTGTTCGCCAGGATGCCGAAGGCATTTTCAACCACCCTTCTGGCGCGGGAAAGCCTGTAGTTAAATATCCTCTCTTCGATGTCTAGACCAAATTCCTTGATTTCAGAGTTATTGTAGATCTGTGAGTCTGATGATGACCCCTTACCACCGAGGTCTGCCCAGATGAACTTGTAATCTGCGTCTACAAGGCATAGATATCTTATATACACTAGATAGCATCTATTCAAATGGGGGTAACCGCTGGAATATTCTTGTCTTCAATTTTACTAAAAGAGATGCGCAATCTAGTGTATATAAGATATCTATGCTACAAGGCCTATGAGTACAACAGAGTAGAATCCCTCCGAGCCAACGGCGCGGAGCGCCGTTCCGGGCGTGAGCCCGGGGCGAGGGTACTAATTCCGCCCGGCTATTTACATCCGAGGAAACGAAAGCGTTAGCGAAGTCTAAAGTTCATCAATGATTGCGGGTGTAGGTGACCAACGGTGTTGGAGTGTTTGGTGGGTGGTCATCCTCACTGCATGATCTCAAAAATATGGCGGACTGTGAATAGCGAACACTGATTGGGCATATTTAAAATTTGTATTATAACGACTGCAAAACATTTCTCGATTTGAAGATTTCTTGAAAATATATTTCATTTTTGCTAGGGATGTGCCGGATCCGGATACCGGTATCTGATATCCGGTAAAATTTAGACATCCGGCACTATCCGGTATCCGGTATAAATTTGCCGGATATTTACCGGATAGTACTGTAAGATATTTTGTTACAACCATGAAACGGAAAAGTTTACTTGGCGTTTAAAAATTGTGAAACTGAGCGTGCGCTGCATTACGACGAAATTACGACATATTTTTTTCGTGATGCTGATGTGAACTGCTCGTTCGCCAACAGCAGTGAATTTTATATACTGAATACCAGTAAACAATGTAAGGTGAATCATAAGATATGGCCTTGGTAAAGACAAATAGGTTAAAGAGACAAAAAACTCTTGAAGTTATTGTATTAAACACATTGCCACATTGGACTAGTTAATTAAGCTATAAAAATGTTGTGTTTCTAATAAATTATTGTATGGGAGTATCTGTTTATTATCTGGTATCCGGTTATTATCCGGTATATATCCGATCATCATTTTCTCCTGACCGGTATCCGGTAGACTACTATCCGGTACTAATTTTGGTCCAGCAGGGACTAACTAGCATGGGGGAGCTCCATGCATATATTGGAATTCTTAAAAGAAGGCTGCATGCAACACGCCTGTCAAAAATGCATGCAAAAGCACCAATATGCTTCAACGTCTGAAATTTTTATTCTGTTTCTACCACATTTTCCATGAATATAGAACATATCGTTTTTTATACAATCGTATGTTTTTTGTTTTTGGAATTGCTACCTTTTGGCGGGTAAATTACGTCACAAACTTGGCGCCAAAAAATTGAAAATAAGCTATTGGTTATTTTACAAATCCATTTAGTAGAGCAGACTAAGAGTACTTTAAAACTGAAATCTGTTTCTAAATACAACCATTTTATGGGAAGATATAGCGATACAAATGTAGAAAAACCCGCCATATTGTTACTAAAAATAGTACAAAATGGCGGATTTTTAGAAATTTAAGTCATTATATCTTCGAAAGGAATGATTGTCAGGGGCGCCGGAAAGTCGATAATTGGGGGGGGGACAGATATTATATATTCATGTTCACAGACTGTAAAAACAATCGCTTTCAAAAGAAATAAATGATGCAGAACAGAATATATGAGTATCTTCCACCCCAATTATCGACTTTCCAGCGCCCCTGATGATTGTCAGGGACGTGGCAACCGGGGTGTGTGGGACGGGGTGTAACGTAACAGATGCCAGGAGATACGTTGGGTGGGGGCTATGTTCTCTAGGGTTTAATCAATTTATGTGTTCCTATTTAACGCCATGTGAATTAAATTCAATGTTATATATAATTATATATGTTACCACTACATAAGAAATTATACAAGAAATATAATACTTATGCCTAAATGCACCTCAGGGCGGGTAATCTGCAATAATATATTTTAGCTATTACACGTGAGAATAAAGTAAGTCATACCAAAATGAATGTGAAAACAAATTAGTACGCTATATATATTTACATATATAAAAAATTAAGTTGCATGCATCAAGTCTAAAAAT